GGCAGGCAGGCAGGCAGGCAGGCAGGCAGGCAGGCAGGCAGGCAGGTAGGTAGGTAGGTAGGTAGGTAGATAAATGTTTCCAGGTGTATTTATCCATGTGCTGGAGAAGGAAATCACTGACAACCTGCAGCACCTTGTTTCTGCTGGCACAGCACTTGATCAATGTAGTTCTCACCAATCACTCTAACTAAAGAGCTTTCCGAAAGGGGAAAAAAAAGTTTTTGCACTCTGCAAACCTCCCCAAAATGGCCCATTTTTCGTGAAAACGCCCCCCTTTTTTTCAAATAAAAGGCATGAATAGCCTTGGGGGGCTTGCAGAGTGCTCCTGGGGGGACGGGGGGCAAAAATGGGCAAAAAATGGCCCATTTTTTTTTTCAAAAAATTGCATGTATAGCCTTATGGAGGCTTAGAGAGTGCTGCTGGGGGCTGGGGGGCAAAATATGGTCCATTCTTTGCTCATTTCTGCCCTCCCCAGCCTCCAGGAGCTCTCTGAAAGCCTCCATAAGGCTATGTACAGCCATTTTTGTGAGGGGGCAGGGCTTCGGGAGGCAAAAAATGCTGTATTCGATGTATAAGACACACCCAGATTTTCAGCCTCTTTTTTGAGGAAAAAAGGTGCATATACTACGAAAAATACAGTAAGTACATTTTTGGGAACTTTCTAAGATAGAACTAGTTTAAATTATTTATTGCCAAGTAACTGATATATGATAACATTTTTTTTCTGCATGCAATCTCAGATAGCTTTGACATTTCTGATTAGTTTGTAGAGTTTGAAAACTGAATCATCCCTAGTTGAGACTAAAATTATACTGATGAATGTCAGAATTTGAGTTTCAATATATTACTCAATTATGAAACAACAATTAATATATTCTTGAAAATGCATTAAATCTCTTTTTCCAGTATGAACATATAAGGACAGTGTAACCTTCTTTTGTGAGGAGTTTCATTTGTTCTAATACATTTTTTTCAGAATTTGCAGCCTGAAAAATGAAGAACTTCTGTTGAAGTTCTTTTCTTTCTCCTCTCATCCAACCCTATGCAAGCTTTTCAAGATTACTGTTTTAGCTGAGAAGTAGCCATCTTGCTAAAGACTGAAAGGAAAATAGGATATAACTATTAATTTTTCTCTTTTTCTGTTGTTATTATTATTAGTAAAAGTATTAGTATTATTATTATGCTATTGTTAGTACTGGTGGTAGACATATGTAGAAAAGCGATTTTCTGAATTTCCAGATGCCCAGCTGATTATAGATCAGATAGCTGGCAGATAAAGCCTTGTGTGACTCCCAAGATCACATAAGCTAAAGAGAAAACACACCTTTAAATGGGCCATATAATTCTACATGTATATAGAATTTTCATTTACATCAGCTAGGTATATAATGATAACTTGCTGCATGGAAATAGAAAAAGTTCTGGAAGATTTGAAGACAATGCCCCTTTATCATTCTCTAAGAAAAGCAAATGTCCATAGATTGTTGAGGTAGTGTATTTGAATTGAATTCAACTGAATTCAACTTTATTTGGCCAAGTGTTATTTGACAGAAAAGAAATTTATTTCCAGTACAGAAACACTTAGTGTACATGCAAAGCAACATCCATCATCCACCCCCCCCAATTAAATGGGGGAGCAAATAAGATAATAAGAAGGATAAATAATGATACTACAGCCATGCTACATGGGTAAATATACATAGACATTACACAGCACTGTCAGAATTAGGTGTTCAGCAGAGTGATGGCACAGGGGAAAATTCTGTTCCTGTGTCCAGTTGTTTTGGCATGCAATGTCCTGTAGAGCTGTCCCAAGGGGAGGAGTTGAAGCAGTTTATGTCCAAGATGTGAGGGGTCTACAGATATCTTCTCAGCCCTCCTTCTGACCTGAACAATATATAGGTCTTTTATGGAAGGCAAGGTGGTCTCAATTGTTCTTGATTTACATATATGTTTATACAAATAATAATAATTTAATGGTAATTTTTATTATTAAGATGCATTAGTAGGTAGCTTTTAAAATATATTTTTCTTTCAAAGATGTATTTGTAGAGCTCTAAAAACTAACCTTAATCTTAAATTATTGTTAGTGGAAAGTTATTTTAAAAATCCTTATAATTGTTGTAATTGACTTTCAGTAAATATGATAGTGTATATATGACAATTTTAAATAGTTTTCTTTTTTGTCCTCTACAAGGCCAAGTCTATTATATAATTCTATTTCTATATTTCAGGAAACCTTTCCAAAGAAGAGGAGTGCTACACTGGAAGCAGTGCCATCTGTTTCTTCAGAAACATTTCCTCTAGAAAATGAGAATGGTCTCTGTGATTTTCTTGATACAACAGTTACGAAGAAACCTTGTTCTTTAGAAATAACAAGAGGAGTTTCATCAAAAATAGGTGTTTTTACTGGTTTTGATCTTATAAGTATTGTTATTTGTGCTACTTAGATTTTTGTTTATACTATTAGCTGATTTTGAGAAATATGCAGGAATTTTATCACTTAATGCTTGTCTGTGCAGGAAGCACAAACATGAAGCATTAAGGACAAGTCCAGCTGAGTTGTATTTGCTACATAAATTTGGCATTCAGAGAGAAGGATAGTTATTGTTTCAATTTCTCCAGACCATTCTCCTTGTGAGAAAGAGTAAACTACAAAAAGATATATGGGAATCTATTGCTGCTTTTAGCTGCCTAATCTGAGGCTGTTTTAGCACATAACAAATTCATGCCACTCCCAAATATGGTCCTAAAATATATTTGAAACTAAAAGAGGGCATCCCACGCTTTCTTGAAACAGATGTCAATTCAGTCAAAGTTGTATTAGTACAGTATGGAAATCCAGCCAGATGTCTGCGCCTTTCTGAAAGACTAACTTCCAAAAATATTTTATAGTTTTCCTGTGAAAAAAGACTGGGTTCCATATTCTTCCTCTCCAATATAGTTTGCAATGTTTTTTTTTCTGTCAGCATTTCAGTTTCCATTGTTCTGTGATACCTTCATTCCTGTTTCTAGAACAATCCAGACCAAAGTATATAAACTTTCAAGATTTTTTCCTGGGGTGAACAAATGAGGAGCAATAAGGAGGTGATTGAATTTCAGTGTCTGAAATTATACATATGCTATTTTTCTCATATAATAAACTGTGCATTATAGTAATCTTAAGATTGTTCTGGATTTTTTGTCTTTTATTTATTTATTTATTTATTTATTTATTTATTATTTATATTTTTGTAATAGTATGGTAGATTTCTCTTATTTCATATTTTAAAAGAAAAATATAATTTGGGAAGGAAATGTCTTTTATTTATTTAAAATATGTATATAGCTACCCATCTTGTATCAAACTGTGGGATATTTATAATGAAGAGATAAAATTTCATTTATGTATAATAAAAATATTTAAACCAAAGTCATTAAAGCTCAAAAAAATTAAAACCAAAACTTCGTAAAAAATAGATAAGTCTTCAACTGTATAATGGTACGTAGGCCCAATTTATAGACTCCTCACAGGTTCTGCTCTCTAGATAATATCCAAGAGTTTCAATATAATTGAAACAGTTTTTTTTCTACTGCAGTAAATGAGAAAGCACTGATTTTTCAGCAATCACATGTCATAATGCCTCAATATCGAGAAGAAGAAAAGAATTGTGCATACATAAAATTCAGTTGAAACTCATTTGGTATCCAAATGAAGCAAACAAAATGTTTAAAAGTTATCATATTTATGTAGTTATTTACCAAGCACATCTAAATTATATTAAAGTAACCAGAATATCTTTACAATCCTCAAGGCATGTCACAACTTTTGAGCACCCCAATGTTTGGAAATTGAAAGTTGAAAAATTTGACACGCCCTATAAATATCCAGCATTCCAGATGGCTATAGCTTGCAGATAGTATTTAAGGACAGCCATATTTATAGACTGTTGCAATAGTCCAAATGAGAATTAACAAGGACATGATGAGCAGGAAAGATCATAACTGCACAAAATCCTGCTACCATCTGCTCATCAGGCAAAAGTTATAGGTCTAGGAGGATTCCTTGCTTATGCTTCATTTTAAACAAATGGCTACTATTCAAGCCTGTAATGGAATTCTTTCTGACACACTCCCCATTCTTGAAGCCTCTCATTTTCCCAAGAACAGAATATTTTCTTGTGTCTCCTAAAAGAACAACTGAATTAAGCCATTGCCTCCTGCAAGCATTCTGCTGATGGTCATCCCACCCACCCCCCGACCCCATTCAAGATTGGAGACTACATCTGATTCTCATCTAGATATTTCCATGAGCCCGAGTTTATTAGGTCATTTTTGGTAGTTGCATAGATAGTAATCTCACTGGCAGCTGAAATGCCTTGCCTTTTATGATTCTGCCCTGGTCTTGGACTTTCCTTTTGCTCACTAACTCTGAGGTAAAATGTACTTGGCATAGAATGGCATATCTGACATAGGAATGCAAATGAGGAAGTAAGACAGCAGTTTCCCCAAAATGAAGAATTTTGGAGAATGCTCCTACATAATTCCTGGTTTTGCTTAAATGAGGGAGCTGATTCTCTCTTGAGGAGTTGTACAGGGCTCTGTTGTCATTCATCCCTCTGTGGTGGTGATGTGTTTTAGGGCTTAGTATTCTCTTGAGGTCAGGCTCTAACTCCTTGTTATATGAGTCAGTAGCTGCCTGTGCTGGGTTTGATTCATCACTCACAGGTGCTGACAACCTATTAATGCCTCAGATATAATCTGACAGTCTTCTAGTTTCTGTTCTTCAGGTATAGAACCAAAGGAATCCATAACAGATACAATAGATAAATATGAAGCAGAAATCATTTGTTGGTTGTAGTCAAGGAACGATGAAACTGGGGAAGAGTTGCATGCCCTTCTAGGTTTCCATGATGGAGATTGAAGCTGTGGAATTCTGGGAGTTGAAATCCACAATCTTAAAATTGCTGAGAGTGAGAAACACTGATTTAATGAAAAGGAAAAAGAGTGATTCTTCCACACCATCTCATCCTCTTACTTTTTAAAATCAACTCTCTTTTGAATTTGAAAGAACTTTCTTCCTGACAAGTCCTTCCTCTTAAGTAGGGCTACATGATTATTTAAGACAATTAATCCTTCCAATTAGCTGAGCACATATGTGCTAGTAATGAAATATACGTGTTTGCTCATTTTTATTGTCATTTTTCTTCTGTGAACACATTAGCACACATTAAAAAATGAAATTCTGATGCCCGCTCTCAAAAGAAAATAAGCCAAAATGTTGAAAGTCCAGTCAACCTAACAGCACTATCCAGAACAGAATGCTTTAATCAAGTTTCCTTTGCAAAGATGACACAGTAGTTTCTCAACTGCCGGTTTGTTATTAACTCTAGCTTCATGTAATCCATTTTAGGCTTTAAGGAGCACATTAGCAAATAGATGGGTAGTGGCACTCTATTTTGGTTAGCCTTAGAGGTGGTATTCAGCCAGTTCTGACCAATTCTGGTGAACTGGTAGCAGAAATTTTGAGTAGTTTGGAGAACTGGCAAATGCCACCTGTGGCTGGCTTTGCCCCCATCTATTCGCTGCCTCCTGAATTCCAGCTGATTGGCTGGGTCTTCTTCTGTTGCCCTGCACAGGAGGACGGAGCTGGAAAGCAGGTTAGTGGGGTGAGGAGGGAATGTGGATTTTGCAGTATCCTTCCCTGGCCACGTCCACTAACCACACCCACCAAGCCTCGCCACATCCACAGAACCGGTAGTAAAAAAATTTAAATCCCACCACTGGATTTAGCCTAGTGGTTAGCCCTCCATGTTTTCCTCATTTCCTCTTTTGATCACACTCACTCACTCACTCGACGCCTCTTCACCCAACGTGGGTATAGGCGACTTCCATGGAAAGTTATGGCGATCCATGGAAGCTGTTTTGGCTGGATATACCCAAGGGGACGCCAGTCCCAATGGTCGACAGAGCCTGATTGGTAGGAACAGGGGCACCACGTGAAGGCCGGGTTGTCGTTTGATAGGTGAGAGGCTATATTTGGCGCATCAACTATCCTTGCCCCCCTTTGATCACACTACCTATAAGTATATACAAATTAAGTATAAATTAAGTGTTTTAAGTATATACAAATACTTAAAAAGAGCTTTTATGTATTTTAGGGTCAGTAATTACATCCGGACCAATGGTGGGATTCACATTTTTTTTACTACCGGTTTTGTGGCTTGGTAGGCATGGCTTTGTGTTCATGGCAGGGGAAGAATACTGCAAAATCCCCATTCCCTCCCCACCCCACTAACCTGCTTTCCAGCTCCTTTCTCCTGTTCAGGGCAACAAAAGATGATCTGCTAGGAGGCAGTGAGGGCAGGGCCAGCCTATTTGCCGGTTCTCCAACTTACTCAAAACTTCCGCTACTGGTTCTCCAGAACCTGTCAGAACTGGCCGAATACCATCTCTGATCTGGACTATATTCCTCTGTATAAAATTCTCACTTAAGATCACATCTAGGCAGTTAATTAGATTCTAATATTCATTTGAATGGTTATAGTGATGATTTTTTTAAAGTCATTGAGTTGGCTGATGGGGCAGTCCAGTTACCAGTTCACATCCTGGTGAATGAAGTTGAGGAAGGTCCTAATAGACAGCTAATTTTCCCACAAGTTAATACCACCTGTTGGAACTTAGAAAGTCTTTAGTATATTTTTCCATACCTATACAGAAGATATCAGAACTATAATTTTTAACCATCTATCCATTTTTAAGTACAGTAAGTATTATACTAATATTCCTAATTTCCCTCTTACACTTCCAGTTTCCTCTCTAGTTTTGACAGGCAGCCAATGAACATAAACCTATTTCTGCACATGAATAGTTTTCTGCATTGAAATGCTAAGCATTAGCTGTGATCAGTGACAAGCTTTGTAGAAAACAATAAATGAATATCTCAATCTGAATGCAAACAATATGAATTATAGATCTAATAATTATAATAAATTATAAAATACTGAATCATTTGTCTTTAAAGCCATTTTCTGTTTTCACAGTATATTCTGTGTAATAATGTATAATCACCAGAACACTATTTTTATTCATAGATAATGCACCGCAAGTAGCAATTACTGCACCAGGTACTGGTAACCATAGAAACAGTTCAACAGGCCCAACACCTGACTGCTCTCCTCCATCACCAGATACTGCACTGAAAAATATAGTAAAAGTTATACGACCTCAGGTGAGTAGTCATAAATAGATATTTCATTTGAGTTTATTCGAAGACAATGTTTTTCTCTTTCAGGTTTCCAATATGAACATTGTAATGTGGCTCATTTAAAGATTTTGAAATAAAATTCCTAAACATTGCAGATAGTTGTATCTTGTTTGGATATGAAGACATGAATCTATATTATTGTTTTAGTGTTAAATACACTACACTTCTTTGTCTGACAAACCAGTTAACAGTTAAAGAACAACCTAATTAGGGAACCACCAAGACCACTTCCAATGCTGATCAGGCAAGCCACTAGTACATAAAACAAGACAAAACCCCATTCCCTTCTAGCACTGATGATGTTACAGTTTGGTAACAAAATCTCTGCAATCAAATAACCAAGCTCAGAGAGCATCAAAGACTCCAATGTTCAACCCTGAGCTACAAATGTTCTCTTCTATTGATATTTATATACTTAATTTTAAATAAGTTAGTTAGTTAGTTTATTAGTCTTGTATGCCGCCCACTCCCGGAGGACTCCGGGCGACTTACAATAAAAAGGGGAAAGGGAATAAATAAGACAAACAACAATTTAAAATACAACAACAATCGTAGTTACCGTGGGGCTGGATACTTCAACAGCCCCCGGCCTGCTGGAGCAGCCAGGACTTAGTGGCTTTACAGAAGGCCGGGAGGGTCTTAATTGAAAGAGTTTATCTAAGTTTTGTATTGGATGTTATTACTCTTAATGACCACTTCTTTTGCCTAATTTTTGATACACATTACTGTTATATTGTATATATATTTAACTTGCTTAGCTTACTTCTCTTCTGCTTTTGTTCCTGCCATTGGTGTTCTTTTTTTATCTCATTGACCTAAGGCACATTTATCTCCACTGATATTCATTGAATTCTGCAAATTATATGGTTGAGGTCACAGTGATTTGTCATCCTGAAGATATCAAAGATTAGTCAACTGAATCATAGCCAACCAAATTAAATAGCAGTTGAAGTATGGAATCATAGGTCTGGAGGTCTTCTACTCCAAAGGGGGTCTTCTACTGCAAACCCATGCCCAAGGCAGGAATCCTTATACCACCCTGGACAAATGGTTATCCAAGTGAATGATCTCCCAAACTATATTAAATGGAAGCAGGAAACAATAAAAAATTAATTAAAAGGTACAGATCAGTTTATAATATTAAACATTTGGTAAAATATTTTCCCCCAAAGGTAGTTTATTGTCATTAAGTTTGTTCTTTCTAAATAAATGTATTTCTCTACATTGCCATTCTTTGGTAGATATTAGAAGAGAGCTTGTGGGCAACAAACATTTGGCATTCTTTCTGTGCCGGAGCAACACAGAGCCCAATTAATGTTTCCTTGCTCTTTTGTTTTCAGTGGAAGAATAAGTCAGCTTTCAATACTTTACTTGGTGCTTTGCTTGCTTTTGCATGTGAATTAATATCATTTGTGGAATAAATTAAAGTCAGTTGGTTAATAAAACAGTAAAACATTGGAGATTGCTTAGCTGGCCTGTATAGAAACCATATATGCTTTTAAATGCTTATTCCGGATTTGTACAAAATGATTTAAATCAGAAATCCAGCAAAGTGAAACCAGATCAATCATTTATGTACACTTGTTTTCAAGTGTGATTGATTTGGAATTGTATACATTCCTAACGTTGGCAATTATATATTTAATTTTTAGTTTGATTTATTGCCTCACAGTCTCCAGGCACTGAGCAGGATATCAACAGCACTGCTTAGTTTGCCAGGAAAGAGCTATACATCTAGGTATCATCAGTACACACAACAACAAATGAACCCAAGGACTTCATGTACACGTTAAATAGGTGTGAAGAGAATACTGAACTCCATGGAATACCACTTAATATGGGCCAAAGGCAAGACTTCTAACTCCAAGAATCAGTATCCAGTATTTAGACTTCTGCTGCTGAGAGGCTGCTGAGAGCTAGGATAGGTGCACTACTCTGTGCTGCTGGTGCCAAAGAGCATCCAAAAGTGCAACCAATGATATCTCCATTCCATGCCTAGGACTTAGTATTCATTGAAAGGGATCCAAATAACCCACTTCATTCAAGATCTGCTAAAGTTGCTGCGCAATCACCCTCTTATAGCTTTCCCTAGGGACATTAGACACCAAATAAAGGTTGCTCAGTATGATGGGATCCAGGAACGGTTTTTTGAGTAGGGGCAAACCAAGATCTTCTTAAGAGGTAGTAGAACAACTATGGAGTTAACCTTCATCAGAATCTAACTACACAATACCCCCAGGAAGACTTAATTAGCCAGGAGAGTCTAAAGGAGATCCTTTTTGTATGGTTTGAAACTCTTCCCAGGTTTCTTGCTATTTTGCATGTTTTTTATCTTGTCTTTAAAATATGTTCTTCCTTCCATTAATTTCTCAGTATCTCCATAATGTCTCATACATTAATTATTTCTTAAAACAACATTGTCTGCAGACCTAGTAGTTGTCCTAGTGGACAACCATTTAAATGTGAACCAGCAGTGTGCTGCAGCTGCCAAAAAAGCCAACACAGTTCTAGACTGCATAAACAGAGGGATATAATCAAGATCACATGAAATGTTAATACCACTTTATAATGCCCTGATAAGGCCACACTTGGAATACTGCATGCAGTTTTGGTTAGTACAATGTAAAAAAGATGTTGAGACTCTAAAAAGAGTGCAGAGAAGAGCAACAAAGAGGATTAGGGGACTGGAAGCTAAAACATATGAAGAACGGTTGCAGGAACTGGCTATGTCTAGTTTAATGAAAAGAAGGATTAGGAAGACATGATGTTCCAATATCCCATGGGCTGCCACAAAGAAGAGGAAGTCAAACTATTCTCCAAGGCACCTGAGGGTAGACCAAGAAGTGATAGATGGAAACTAATCAAGGAGAAAAGCAACCTAGAACTAAGGAGAAATTTCCTGACAGTTAGAACAATTAATCAGTGGAAAAACTTACCTCCAGAAGTTGTGAATGCTCCAACACTGGAAGTTTTAAAGAAGAGATTGGATAACCATTTGTCTGAAGTGGTGTAGGGTTTCCTGCCTAAGCAGGCGGTTGGACTAGAAAACCTCCAAGGTCCCTTCCAACTCTATTGATTCTAAGACCAGTTGTATTTCCCTTGGGAAAGAATTCAAGGAACATTAAGGTCCCTATTCCTGGTCAGATTCACTATATCAGTGGTCCCCAACCATTCTGGCACCAGGGACCAGTTTTGTGGAAGACAATTTTTCCATGGCCCAGGGAGTGGTGGTTTCATATGCAATCTAGATCCCATGCATGAATAGATAAAGCTTTGCTTGCTCTCCTGTTGCTTGTGTGGTTCAGTTCCCAAGGCCACGGGCTGGTACTAGTCCACAGCTCAAAGGCTGGGGATTTCTGCACTATATGACAGTAGTCCCCGATCTTTATGGCACCAGGGACTGTTTTCAGAAGAAAAATCATCCCCCACATTTAATTCAGCAAAGCACTTTAAATTCTAGCATTGTAAGTGATGCAGAAAAACATTCTCTACCCAAATTGTGTTTGGGAGTACATCTCTCAGTGTGGGCGTGCTTGCATGTCTTTCCTTATATCATGTCCCTTCAATCTAGCCCTGTGCAGTGGATATACATGTATCAAAATAATTTGATTTTTAAAATGATGAGTAATCTTCAAGGTTAATAATGAGGTCCTTATTTCATTAATTCATCCACTCTTTCAAAAATACTGAATGATATAATGAATGATTAATTGAGTAATGTTCTCTAAGTGAATCCAGTGGGAATCTTGCCACGGACTTCAATTAAGTCTAGACATTGAATAAGTACTGTGACAGGGTCTTATTTTCTTTTGACCCCCCCCCCAAATTTTGCTTGGGCCTTATTATCGGGGGGAGGCTTATTGTGTGATCACTGCCACCACCGCCTATCCCCGCCACCTGGAACAAGCTGAAAATTGGACGTGCAGAGGCCGAAAATGTGTAAAGGCGACAATAGGCAGCAGTGGCGATGGGTGGCGACAGTGGCAATGGCAATCCCTGCAGCCTGGAACAGCTGACAGGTGGTATTCTGGGATTCAGATCCAACCACCAATCAGCTGCTCATGCTGAATCAGGCTTTGCTGAAGCTGGCCAGGCTGTTTGCTGTTTGCTGCAAGGAGGCAAATTTCTGGGAGGCAGAGACAGAGGCAGATTTTTTTTCTTGTTTTCCTCCTCAAAAACTATGTGCATCTTATAGTCTGAAAAATATGGTAATTTTCAGTGCAACTTTGGTTATAGAGAATGGAATAGGTATTTTATAAGTAAGTGTGTTTAAAGAAATTAGTAACAATTTTTAGCATCTGGTTTTAAAAACTGAACAGAGGCAGTGAGCTGTAGTTGTAGCGTCTACTTCTAATTAATTTATTTTTGCAGGCCAAGCAACGTACATCAATAGTATCAGCTTTTGAATTTAATCGATTAAATCAGAGTCACGACTATTTTGAAATCAACTCCTGTGTAAGATACGCGAGCTTTAATTCCAGCTCTCCAGTTAGTCCAGCCAACTGCTCCACTGCGTCTGTTGAGGACAGCATTGAAGAAAATAATATACCAGGTAAACAAAACATTGAAGTTTAACATGATGGGTGATGATGAAAGCTAAAATCCAGGTCGCTGAATAATTATTTATAATTATTTTATGAGTACCAAAACCAAGTCCTCATGACAATTGGAACAGTGAAAGTGTAATTGTGCTTATGTTCTTACTTTAGCTTTTCTTTGCTTTTAAAGGATTGGTTATAAGGTTTTGCATCACTGTCATAAATTCTAACAGTCATTGAACAAGGAAGTCATAAGCAAGAACTACCTATATAAGAAATTAAGTGACACATTTATTTATCTAATACTCATAGTTAAATATTTTATATGGGCTTTAAAATTAACCAAGTATACACACACACATACACACACACACACACATCAAAGTGTTGTTGTTATTGTTGTTGTTATTGTTGTTGTTATTGTTGTTGTTATTGTTGTTGTTATTGTTGTTGTTATTGTTGTTGTTATTGTTGTTG